AACTGATCTTGATAGTGATGTGGAAAACAGTCATTTACAATTTTAAGAAATTCATGTCCAATTTTTTTGTTTTAACGTTGGCGCTGCAAGACGTGGGGTTGAACCATATAATGTTTCTTTTTCTTTTCTTTTTGACTTTAGATTGCACGTTGTGAGTAGCCGGATTGTATTTCAGCTCATAGTTGAACCCGCTTTCGTTGAGGGCTTCCTGATACGGTTTCTTAGTTTCGTCGAAAGCTGCTTTGTTAGAGGATATATGGGACAGTCTCTTGTTTATGCCTTCTGGGATGTTCTTTATTATAGAATGCGGATGGTTGCTCTTGCAATTGACATAGCGCGGCTTGTTGTTCTCCTTTAAGTAGGGTTTATAGGTTCCATCAGTGAGGTTAAGTATTATATCCGTAGTTGATCACTTTCCTGTTTGCCTCGATTTTTAAGCTGTGTTCTTGCGTAGGTCCTTTTTAATTTGTTCGATTTCACGGGGGGGTTGCGTTGAATGCAGCATTGCATAGTAGATAGGCCTATAGACAGAGACCCATAATATTATTCTAAGTTAATTTACAGTCGTTGATACAATCTATAATTGTATGCTGTTATTCTGATAGGAAGCGATTTGTAAATTATTAAAATAACTCAAAATAAGGAATACAAATACATTTTAAACTTTAATCAAGGAAGTAAATAAATATTATGTCTGTAGCAAAGTCGACTGTATATATGCCTCTGCTTAAAAGTGATATTTTCAACGACAGTGAATAGGTTGTTATTTTTTAAATTAATTCAAAATTATAAAGCTATGTGTAATTATAGAAATTGTAATAGGGTCTAATAGATGATAACGATGATGATAATGATAGAGATAGTAAAAGATAAATGATGATGAGAGTGAGGATGGTGTTGATGATATTGATGTTGATGATGAGGATGATGATGATGGCGATGATGATAATAATGAGAATGATGATGGTGGTGAAAATGATAATAGGTTTAAAAATAATCATATTATTTTTTTCATTTTTATTATTTTTTTCAATTTCAATTTATTTCACTTTATAAATAGAAAAAAAAAACACATCCAATAAGGAGAACTTAAAAACTACAGAGAAGATGCGGAAGAAAAACAATTATCGACTAAAAAACCATCTATCAACCAGATTGATCCAGAACAACAGTACCCGTAATGTAACCCATGACATCAAAAAGGAGATAGAAATCATCTCAAGAGGTCACCATTATAATTTCAGTAATTAATTACAATGTATATTATAAATTGAGTGAGGCCTTAATGTTTGTGCCGATTTGCCGTCCAGACGCGTGCACAGCTCTAAAATAAATACATCGTAGCATCAATCTGTTAAATGTCTTAGGGCCTATTATTACCTCTTATGAGCTCATATTTTTGCCTATCAAATTATAAAAAATCAATTTTACGAATCTACATAATATTGGACGAGGACTTGTCACGTACAAAGCAACATATGTGAGAATTCATTATTTAAATTACATTAGTAAAGTACGGTGAAAGGAGCAGCAGAGTTGGCCTAGGTAAGTGGAACGTACCACTTCAGTGATCGCGGCTGATACAAACACGTATATGTTACGTATACTAAATAACGTAATAAAAATATTATAAACTCCTGACCATGTTAATCACTAAAATAAGTCAATACGACACGAATAAGGAATGTCTACATCCATCAAATTTGAGCAAGTATTTTATAATCCATTTTTTACTATATTCTTTACCAGTAGACCTATCTTACTGCTTTAACATTATAAACAAAACTATTATTGGCTCATGTTCTTCTTTATCTAAAATGTACTCTGACTTTCATTTGCAAAGGTCTTTCTAAGCTATAGTTCGACAGGGTTCACAGAATGATTATTTAAATAATACACCTTATTCACATTCACAGGCGGCGATGGTCGTCTACCAATAACATGTTAGTGTTTTTAAATTTTAGCTGGCAAGTAAATAGTAAGCAGCTTTTTTCTTTAGGGGTGGTGGTGGGGGGGGGGTCATTCATGAGAACAATTTTAAGGCTAACATTATTGTTGGCTTTAAGTCTCTAGAAAGATGAGAGGGTGACAAGAGACAAGAGAGAAAACTGTTCCTAAATTCATTTAAACATGCCTTATTTATACAGGAGATCCCTTCTTTCTGCACCCCCTAAAATAAGTCAATATGTGACGAATAAGGATGTCTACAGACTACATCCATCACAACATTTTATCATGTATTGTATAATACATTTCTTACCATATTCGTTACAAGTAGGGATAGGCCTAGTATCTTACCAGCTTTAACATTATAAACACAATTATTATTGGCCCATTTTCTTAATTTAAAAAGTAATTTGACTTACATTTGCAAAGGTCTTTCAAAAGTATTTAATATTATGCTGTAGAATATTTTGTTGTTGAAATACTTGCAGCATTTGGTCGACTGGGCTTCACAGAATTATTTTCTGGGCGGATCCAGGGTCCGATGGTCGGCGACGTCCGGTCCTTCCACCACCCTTAACATGTTAAGGGGCGGATTTGGAAAAGTCAAATAAAAAAAAAAAGAAAAAGAAAAAGAAAAAAATTGATCACCCACAAAGTCTCAGATGTTATTTTTTGGGCGTCTAGAAAACAAAAAATGGTGGTGTTGATCTCGATCGGCCCCACTTTCCCACCCCCCCCCCACCCACTTTCAGACATCTCTTGATCCGGCCCTGTAGAGTGCTTTTAGCAGGCAAAAAATGTAAATAGGATGCAGCTTTTTTCTTCTTTAGGGGGTGGGGGAGGGTCATTCATGAGAATAATGTTCAGGCTAAAATTATTGTTGGCTTATAGATCGCTCAAACGATGGGAGGGTGACAAGACAAAAGACAATCCCCCAAGTCATTTAAGCCTATTTCATTCATTCTTTCATTAAAACGTATTTCATTCATTCTTTCATTAAAACGTATTTCATTCATTCTTTCATTAAAACGTATTTCATTCATTCTTTCATTAAAACGTATTTCATTCATTCTTTAATTAAAACGTATTTCAATTATTCTTTCATTAACATTCATCCTGCAAATAATATGACCGAATACCTCACATGATTATGACGACGACGACGACGACGACAACGACAACAACAACAATAATAATAATAATAATAATAATAATAATAATAATAATAATAATAATAATAATAATACGGGTTGAATATGTCAGGATAAAGTTCGTTTTATCGGCCTGCTATAGTTCTCTGCTCAACCCGAGAGGAACCATTTCCGCTGTCTGCCACCGCAGGTAAGCCGGGGTAACTTCAGTGAATATTGAATAGAACACACTTTGCTGTATCTCTAAGTGTGTTTATGCCATAGGGCGGATGCAAGATTTGGCAGTAGGGGATGCGTGAGTGTCCACCTCACTGCCCCCACCAGGGGCGGATCCAGAAATGTCCAAAAGGGGGGGGGGGGCGCGGAAGGGGGGCCGAAAGTTGGGCCGATTGAGACAACACTGTCGTAGGGGGTCCGGGGCATGCCCCCGCGAAATATTTGTGTTCTAGACGCCCGAACATAACATTTGAGGCATTCTGGGCTATCATTTTTTTCTTTTTCTCTCTTTTTTCCCCTTTTTTTTACCTCTCAAAAGGGGGGGCCCCCTAAATCCGCCCCTGCCCACCATGGTTGGGGCTGAGGGAATAGAAAAATTTTTGAGAATAGGGACGTCTCAGGCGCGGATCCAGAGTTTTAGCTCGGTTTCCATAGAATCGCTCACCCTATCGGCGACAGTCGTGACAGTTGTAGTTCACAGACGAATCGGGGTGCCTTCCCGATTGCGCAGAGCAGCTGGCAATGCACCCTGATTCGTCTGCGTTGGTAACGCAATCAGAAAAGTTGAACCGGGTTCAACCATCCCGACAAATGTCCGCGACTGTCGCCGATAGGGTGAGCGACTCTATGGAAACCGAGCTTTAACCTGACTGTCGCACATATGGGATCCTGGCTGGGTGGGGTCAGGGGATAGAGAAAGTAATGCTTGCTTGTTCCGTCACTGAAAGAATATTTTAGACGTGGTGTGTGATTCGTATTATGTAAGGACATTCTCAAGGGCGGATTTAGAGGGGGGGGGGGCTAAACAGGCTTACCCCCCCCCCTAAAATTTCATAGCCATTTCTTTTTAACTGCTTTTTGAAGGTCCAAATTAAAATATTGTTTAATGTTTTCTTCACACACATCATATTTATGGGCTAAACATTTTACAGTAGTTGTTTTTCAGTGATAAAATAAAAATGAAATGCGTTTTTTAAACGACCAGCGGACAAAAAACATAAGCTAAGAAAGCTGCTTTTGCCTTGCCTTCATGCTCAAATCTCGAAGCAAAGGCCGTTGTGTAGCGATCTCAACGTTTGTGTAATACAAACTTTTCGTGTCCCGCGGGTTTGTTCTTGTCTAGTCTTTCCCTGATTGCTTGCGGTCAGAGGTATTTGAATGTTTGGAAATAAACTAATAATAAACTAAAATTTTCGTGTCGAGCGAGTCGTTCTTGTCTAGTCTTATCTTGATTGCTTGTGGTCAGAGGCAGGTATTTAAACGTTTGTATGATACACTAAACATTTCGTGTCGAGAGAGTTGTTCCAGTTTAGTTTTTCTTGATTGCTTGTCGTCGGATACTACTACTACATTTAAAACATATTTTAAGGGGAATTCTTTTGTCGTCTGAGGTTCTCCTTAACATTGTCAAATTTTACCTTTAGGGACAGTATTTTTATTATGGAACTGTCAGGAAGAGCTGCGAAGTGCAACGAAAGAGGATCGCACTCTACAGATGTTAATTAACACAATATTTAAGGGATGGCCAAAAACTCCAAAGTCGTGCCCAGGGGCGGATTTAGGGGGGGGGCGGCTCGGCCCCGGCCCCCCCCTTTTGGGAGGTAAAAAAAGAAAAAAAAAAAAAAAAAAAACAGGCCTGTAACTGTCTCTTATACACATCTAGATGTGTATAAGAGACAGCATACATACATCTAATAGCTAAAGCGTTCAGCTACCCCTCTTAACCCCATCTTATCGGACGGAGACACCTCCTCCCAAACCCGTCTCCGCAGCACTTGGAGGAACTTTACACATATACCTATAGGCCCCACCCCCCCCTAACCAAAACTTCTGGATCCACCCCTGATTCTATTTCACTTATGGCGCCCTGTAGTTTTGTATACAAGTTATTTCAAATGGTTTGTTTCTATCTGTAGGAAGTAACAGCAACAATTTATCGCCAACCTAACATTTTCCCTAGTGTATACTTAGACTTCTTAACTAAATATATTTACAATATACTTTTTTTTAAATTAAATAATCTTATTTTTTCATCATCATATTCATTATGAAATATGATACATATTGAACTCAGAGGTGGCGCCAAGATTTGCACTACGGGGGTCCAATGTCCCCGATAGGTGGTGGATGTCCCAGACGAAAACAAATTGGACGTGATCAGCAGTTGCTAAAAATTAAAAAGGTATCCAGAGGCAAGCCTCCTGAATAATAAGACAATTTAGGGGTTTCAAATGATTATTTAATCGATTTCAGAGTCTACTAATATGAAGAAATTTCATATAATATTTTTTTCTCCCAACAAATTGAGGTTTTCTCCATGACAAGGGTGTGGATGGTTCTCCCTGACGGGGGTCCTCGTCGTCCCTGCCTTCCCGCGTGCACCACCCCTGCATAAATTGTATGTACAATCCATCTACTCAATGCTGGCCTTCCTCAGATGCAGAGACAGCAGACCTTTAGTAAGAATAAGCAAAAAATATAAAGTAAATATACTGTATAGAATAAGTGAAAATTATAATTAGTTGGAAAATAATACCTTAAAACGGTTGTATTAATTATTTTTTTTAGATTCTACAAAGGATTTTAACTGTACCCTACCAATTATTTTTTCTGTCCAATATTGTATGATTCTAGAAAATGAAATTATTACAAAAATATAATACTATCTTGTGTATACATGCTTTATATCTCAAGTTATGCTTAAATTATTGTAGTATATATGTGATCTTCACAAGTTGAATCAAGTGGAGCTGCAGCTCTGCTATTATCATTGATCAAATCATCTTTCCTTTGTGATTCCATAGCTTGTTCTACAGCAGCTCCATGAACACCACTGGCTTGCAGAGGAATTTCATATCCTGTGTCACTTGGTAAATTTGGTGTTGTTAGTCTAGCTTCGTTATTATAATTGATCAAATCATCTTTCCTTCGTGATCCCATAGCTCGTTCTAGAGCAGCTCCACCAACACCACTGGCTTGCAGAGGAATTTAATACCCTGTATCACTTAGTACATTTGATGTTGTTGGTATAACTCCAACATCATCATTAACTGAATGATCATTCCTTTGTGATGGCATAGATCGTTTTGCGGCACCACTGGTTGGCAGAGAAATGTTTTCATACCTTGTGTTATCTGGTGTGTTCGTTGCTGTTGGAATTGCACTACACACTGAACTAGCCACCACTGACATTTCTCTAGGTGGGTTGGGAGCACTACTGGTTTGAATGTTGTTCATATTTGTAGTATGTTCCGTTTTCTTATGGTTTTTATAATACCACCTAATTAAGAAAAAAAAAAATGTCATCATTGTTATCAAGTAACACTTAAGCAAAAAAAACCATAGCTATTTAAACAGGCCTGTAATTTCATAAAAGCAAACAACAATGTCAATATAGAGAGTGTAATAGCAAAACCAACATTCTGAATATCAAAAATATAATATAGGCCTAACTAAAAAAAAAAAAAATAAATAAAATAAAATTCTTAAAAGAAATGTAGCTAGATATGAATAGAAACACTACCTGCAGATGAAGACAAATAATGTACACATCACCACGCAGACAAAGACTATGTATACTAGTATCAGGTAGGTTGATGCATAATGCTATAAGAATACAGAATATAATTATTTATTTTCTTATTATATAAAAAAATACATAAAAACCAACATTACCCAAAAATACTCTTATTGTCATATAGTTCATAATTATAATAGAAAACATTAAAAAGGAGAAAAGAGAGAGTTGCTGCTGAGGCGTACTTCACCGAATCATTAAATAGAATTTCGACATATACCTATGATTGTTAAGTTGAAGAGTACAAGGTGCTGTTGTATCCTGAACAATCCATCGCAGTGACTTATGAAAAATGATTTCCAATCATCAACAAATCATGTTGCTGAATATCTGTTGTGATTGTGATAAAATCATTTATTGTTTATTTAAAATAATGTGTAAATTAATTTATAAATTACATGAGGTTGTGCAGACAGATACCCCTCCTCACCAAAAAAATTACTCATGTCCCCCTCCCCATCTCCCCGAAAAAAGACAAAAAAAAAAAACAATCCAAAAAACAAAAACAATAAACCAAATATAAGTTCCTTTTAAATTTAGTTGTAAAAAATGAAATTTTCGTTGAAGGCCAGTGATTGATACGATTATAATAACTTACGTTCCTATCTCAGCACTGTTTTTTTTTTAAGTTTTATCTATTCATTTATATAGTGTAACTGTAACGATATTTTAAAAATTGCTAGCTGTGTGGATTCTGTGTGTATCTATTAGCTTACCTTCCTCACAACGTTCACCTTCATATCCACTTAAACAAGTACAGGAGTATCCATTGGTTCCATCCACACAGAAACTCGTATACACGCAAGGATTGCTCGCACACTCATCAACGTCTGTTTTCAAGCAAAGAAGTAATAAACTAAATATATTTGAGTAAAAAATATTTATAGAAAAATCATAAACAGTATCAATTGCAGATGAAATATAAAACATAATAAGCCAATATAATCAAAGAATAATTGGTTCTATTTAAAAACCAGACCTGATTGGGAAATGGTTCCTATTACCACTTACATTTCAATTTTGTTTAAAAGTTTTTATGATTAGAGGACCGGAGGCAGGGTCAATAAAAGTCATCTGCGCATGCAAGAATGTTTTCCTCATCGCGTAGATTGTAGGACGCAATTTGGCCAAATCTATATATACAGGTAATGTAGGATGCTTGGAAGAACAGTCATGCATGAGTGATTCCGTTTCAGCGTCAAATTGGCGCGCAAATCGAAACCTCCCTACTAATAAGTTATATATTTGAAGATACCACTTGAGCACAATAGCTACCTACACATACTTATCTTATGCATTCTAACAAAAGATAATGTAATGTATGTATTTTCAAATAGCGCTGTATATCAAAGTGTTAAGCGCTCGAGGTACGTACTAGCTTGTTCAGTAATTTGTTTCTTCCCAATAAATTGGAACCTGCTATTTCTCATCTGTCCACAACAGGGGCTGTAAGGACCAGTACACAGGGGTTTATGGAAATGGGAATATGTACTTTGAATAGAGTGGTTGGCGCATTGCTTATGGCTAGGGCTCCCAACTTTGAGATCAGGGGTTCGAAACTCTCGTTGTGCAAGTCGCTTGTGTCCTTGGGCATGGCACTTTATCTAAACTCTACCTGGAGCAAAGAAGGCTGCATTTTGTGCTGGTTTGCCGTAGTATGTTATTCAGTAACAGAGGTAATAACAATCAGCGCCTTTCATCATTCAATTTGGAATTGGTGCGGTTATAAATGTTTGGCATTATTATTTAAATTAATATTAACACGATATCAAACCTTTTATAATATCGAAAACAAGACTATGATAACACAATAAGAAATTGACTACAAGTATAAAAAAAAAAAACTCAAATAAATAAATATGGTAACACTTTTAACTAAACAAAAAGTAAATTTATGATTACTGTACAATTAAGCCCTTCTCCTGGATATTGTTACGACATTCCCACAAAATTACAGCACAAATGTATGTAAACATTGCGTTTGTGGGATCCTGGCCCTATAATGACCGGTCAGTCTGTAAGTTTACCTTCATCGCATCGTGCGCCACTATATCCTGGTTGGCAGGTGCAAAAGGATCCATTAATCGCATCGGTACAGACGCCACCATTTTGGCACGGGAAGCTGAAGCATTCGTTATAGCCTGTAACGTAAGAAAACAATTCATTATTGTTTTCCTATTTTTATCAAACAGCAAATCTCTCACTCATTAGTTATACATTAACATCTAAGTTATGTTTTAAACACAATGAAAATGATTATACTGTATAAAAATGTGATTATGGCCTATTACCTATGACCTTTATATTAAAGGAACATAAGTTGTTGGTGTTTCCTGAACCATCCGTCGCATTGACTGATACAAGGTGATTTCCAATGTCCAACAAATCCTGTTGCTGAATATCTGTTTTGATACTTGGAGGTACACCTGAGTTATTAAAATTAGCCTACCTTGCTCGCATAAAGTGCCCGACCATCCCTGTACACACGTGCAGTCAAAACGATTTGTTCCGTCAACACATGCACCGCCATTCTGACATGGATTGCTGGCACACTCGTTTGTATCTGAAATAAGGGGCAAAATAACGATAAATCTGCAAAACATTGATTATTGTGTAACATTGCTTTCTTAGGATATGCTTATATTTTTTTTAATAAGCACGGTTAGGCTATCTTATGCCAGGCATTACACTTCCTTTTCCTTTTGTGTTCTCAGTTTATTTTTTGCAATTTTTTTATTTTCTAATCTGACTTAGGAGTCTGTATACTGTCAGCGCCTTGAGACGATTCGTATAGTCTTTGGTTGGTAAAGCTTTTAAAAGAAATTTATAAGGCCTGTATTTACATTTTACTGACGAATTCACTTCATATTTATGAATTTTAGGGTATAATCAGCCTATACATTCTATCACATTAAAAAATTGTTATGATGCGTGAAACGTAAAAAGTGGATTCATGCGTGAGACTCATGCATTATGCATGTGAGCTGGTAGCCTGTGTAATGTTCATTATAACTTGCATAAATTATTACAAATTCATTATCATTCACGTTATTCTTACCAATTTCACAGTTAGCACCAGTCCAACTTGCAGTACAGTCGCATTCGTACCTGTTAACGTTGTCGATACAAACAGCTAAATTCTGACATGGGTTACTCAAACACTCATTGATGTCTGTAAATAAAAATGTATCATTTAAGAATAAAATCTACGCTATCATTATTGTTATATTGTTTGTAAATATTAGTTTTAAAGTATTAGACAATTATTTAATAAAATTATCCAGTTAACTATTCATGAAATAGACATAGTATGTAATAAAATTATGTTTAAAATGTTATCTACAATGTCTGTCAGTAAATACATATTAATTCAATCATCCGATTCTTACTTCTATTCAACAAGCAAAAGTTCATACAATGGTGAAAACTCAATACTTTAAGCCGGCTTTACACTAAAAGAATTTATTTGCGTAAATTAAAAGCATAGGTTCATGCGTAGGCGCATTCACATTTCTATTGGTGTTTTTCACTTCAGTGAGCTGTGATTGGTCGAGCATTTTTTTTACTTTGCAGAGGGTAAAAATGCGCGACCAATCAGAGCTCAGGAAGCAAACCGACCCTTTTGATTCGCGTGAATAAATTCGCCTAGTGTATGACCGGCTTCAGAACATGGTGATCAAAAACATAAATTGCTTCCTACTATTTTCACAGTTGATTCCGTTATAACCTGGCACGCAGGTACAATCATAGCGATTAACTCCATTGGCGCACTGCGCGCCATTTTGACATGGGGTACTGGAGCACTCATCGTAATCTGTAAGACGAAAAAATTATAAAACAAACAATGTTTATCATGAAGTTGCTTCAATATCATCTCTATTTTCATCATTGTTATAAGCATATGGTGGCAGTATCAATTAAAATTTCCAGCCAAATATCTTGAGTTTGAGAACGAATTCAGTCACACACACACCTCTGAGTTAATAAAATACATTTCAAATGATAGATAGTTATTTGATCTGGATATTAGACCTCTTTATTAAGGCCTAAGACAAATTTCTGTAGTGTTTTTGTCTATTTCCGTACGTCCGTATTTAAGTAAAATTTCAGTAGCAACTACGGAAATTCCGTAGTACTTGCGAAGTCTGGGCCTGCAATCAAGATGATTCCCTCCCAAGTCTGTAAAGTGGTACAATTTAGTGTTTGTATGCATCTTGTTTAATAAAGACAAAAAAAGTACCAAGAAAACCCTAGTTAGTACTCCTAGGCCTTGTTTCTGTTACATTTAAGTCAAATTTTCACACAATTTTCCTAATTAATACAAAGTTTATGAGACTGAAAATAATTCTCTTGAAAAATGTTCCCTGAAAATAAAAAAAAAACCGCATTTCTGTATACCTATAAAAGAAATTTATTCTGGGAGGGATTAGTGAGTTCTGTAAGATTTTATACTCATCCCCCTATCCATCTATCTATATTTGTCATTATCAAAAATTTCCAGGAGTGGTGCCAGCTTTTACTCGATTGGCAGCACATCAGTATCGACAGATGGGCCAGAGTCCACACCTACCTCAGCACCCCCTAATCTTTCATTCCTCCACTGGTACTACCCCTGCAACTGTGGACATACAAGACCGTGAGATATCCGGAGCTAAGTATTTACGTTTTGGAAAAAATATAGTATTTTTGTGTGAATACTTTTTAAGCAAACTTACCAACATTACATACATCCCCAGTCCAGCCACCCACGCAAGAGCATGTGTACTGGTTAATGTTGTCGGTACATGCACCGTTATTTTGACATGGCTGGCTTTGACATTCGTCAATATCTGCGAATAAAGGTTACCATATAAAACAAATTAAAGAATGACATCATATGACGAATGACAATTTTATAAAATATATGTAGGCCTATATATTGAACTTGCCTTGAATTAGTACCGTAAATTATTAACATAAAAACATTTTGTTTGAATCAGTATTTATCAATGAGTTTTTGAGCTGTTTAATTTCAGTGACATTTTCCTAATATAATTAATTGTACATAATTGTTTTTATTATTGTTGATAAATTTAATTTAATAAATAAATGTTTTTGTTTTGGTTTCTGGTTTAAACTTGTAAATTTAATCTTGTTCTTGTTTTTGAGAATTTGTTGTTACTCTTCAATTTTGTTTACGAAATTGAAAATAAAGCACATTTAAATTTAAATTCGAAGATATTTTCAGTGTTTTTATATAAAAAACAATAATAAAAAAACAAACAAAAATAAAAAATAAATGTCTTTTTAAACACATTTATTATTCTAAGTATCTAAATTGAACTTACTTGTCTCACAAAGCGTTCCGGTGTATCCCGCAAGACAAGAACAAGTAAACATGTTCTGCAGATTGTTACAGGTTGCACCATTTAAACACGGACTGCTACTGCACTCATTAATATCTGAAATAGAATAATTTAACATTAGCATGTAAACATTTAATTGCAAAGCTATTAATATGCAGCAGCTCAGTCAGCTAAACTGGCGGTAGCTGAACCGCCATGATCTCTTGCCTCTTGGTCCCTGGTTCAATTCCAATCGCTGCTCTCCTTGTATTTAAACTAGAGGGCTGAAATGCAAGTTACGATAGCGCACCTTCTTTCAGATGGGACGATTTAGCTGTTGGTCCCGTAGGCATTAGGCTCATGTGCACGTTAAAGAAAACAGTACACTCTGGAAATAATTCTCAAAACTTTCGAGGGTTATCCTTGGTAAATCACACCGAAGAAATCCAATTCAATGTGATAGTCCATTATCACTACAGTACGACTTACCTATGTTGCAGTTTATTCCGGTCCAGCCAGGAGTACAGGTGCAGCTATACATAGCAAGGCCATCCACACAGCCAGCTCCATTTTGACAAGGACTTGACGAACATTCATTTATATCTGGAAAAAAGTGCAAGAAAATAGCCATATCTCTATGAATTTTTTTTGGGGGGGGGGGGGAGAAATTACCAATTAATGGCTATAGATTTTTTTTCTATTTTACTTCTTTCGGCAGTACAAACATTAGACTAACCATTCAAAATGAAAGAGGAGGAAACAAAAGTGATTAAAAACTACTTTTGTCAAAGGGCGTGCCTCTCTAACTTCACACAAAATACAAACACATTGATAACTTAAACCTAAAATTGGACCTAATTTTTTACTTGCCAATCAATGTTTCCCTAATATTGAAAGTTGACCATTTGACTGAGTAATATGTTCAAATTGGATTTGAATAAAAAGTCACCCCTTGATATTAATGGTCAATATATTAATTGTATTGAAAATAATTAATAATTTAATCAACTTTTTTTATAATCCAATATGATTTTGTATCTATTTTTAATGTTATTGTATGTATTAGTTTAATTAAATAATAATTCAATAATTGTCTGTCTTGTAATTATATATACTATTTATGTATCGTTTTAAACAGACAATTTCCCACACATCTCTTTTTTGTTCGATGTGACGTTGATTGGTTGAAGGTGGGATGTAGAAGTGCTTGGCACCTGTTAATTTCTTTATTTTTGCTGCTTTTTCTATATTGCTATTTTGTAACTTCAGCTACTTTGTATGTTCAGTGATGAAGCTTAATTTTTTTTTAAAGTGTGGACATATAAGGATTAAATATTTTGTGCATAATACATACTTGTTCCACAATTGTCGCCTTCATAGCCAGGGGCACACTGACAAGAATAAGAAAATTCAGCATCATTACAGATGGCGCCATTCAAGCAGGGAGCATCCAAGCAATCATCTAGATCTAAGAAAGAGAAAAGGGATTTTTTTCTTCTTCACAAAATTATTTCTTTTTAGTATTTCTATGTCAGTAATACAGACATTACAGTGATCAGAAAAAGTAAACATAATGAAATATCCCTAAAAATTAATAGACATTACAATACAATACCTGTCTCTTATACACATCTAGATGTGTATAAGAGACAGCCCCAGTCCAGCCACCCACGCAAGAGCATGTGTACTGGTTAATGCTGTCGGTACATGCACCGTTATTTTGACATGGCTGGCTTTGACATTCGTCAATATCTGCGAATAAAGGTTACCATATAAAACAAATTAACGAATGACATCATATGACGAATGACAATTTTATAAAATATATGTAGGCCTATATATTGAACCTGCCTTGGATTAGTACCGTAAATTATTAACATAAAAACATTTTGTTTGAATCCGTATTTATCAATGAATTTTTGAGCTGTTTAATTTCAGTGACATTTTCCTAATATAATTAATTGTACATAATTGTTTTTATTATTGTTGATAAATTTAATTTAATAAATAAATGTTTTTGTTTTGGTTTCTGGTTTAAACTTGTAAATTTAATCTTGTTCTTGTTTCCTTAGTGACTGTCTCTTATACACATCTAGATGTGTATAAGAGACAGCTCTTTCAGATGGGACGATAAAGCTGTTGGTTCCGTGGGCATTATGGCCCATGTACATGTTACGCACAAACTACACAGACACACACACACACCCACACAGTATACTACGGAAATAATTCTCAGAACTTTCGAGGGTTATCCTTGGTGAATCACACCGAAGAAATTCAATCCAACGTAATAATAGTCCATCATCAATACAGTACGACTTACCTATGTTGCAGTTTATTCCGGTCCAGCCAGGAGTACAAGTGCAGCTATACATACCAAAGCCATCCACGCAGCCAGCCCCATTTTGACAAGGACTTGACGAACATTCATTTATATCTGGAAATAAGTGCAAGAAAATAGCCATATCTCTATGAATTTTTCAGGAAAAATTACAAAATTCCTGGCAATAGATTTTTTTTTTTTTTTTTTTTCTATTTTATGCCTTTTCGGCAGTACAAACATTAGCTTAACCATCCAAAATGAAAGAGGAGAACTCTGGAGGGATAAAAGTGGTTACAAAAACTACTATTGTCAAAGAGCGTCCTCTCTAACTTCACACACAATACAAACATGTAAACCTAAAATTGGACCTAACAAGTATTTTACTTAAGCCAATCAATGTTTCTCTATTGAAAGTTGACCATTTGACTGAGTAAAACATGTTCAAATTGGATTTAAATAAAAAGTCACACCTTGATATTGATGGTCAACATGTTAAATGTAGTGAAAATAAAGAAATAATTTGTTTTTTTTAATTAACGTTTTTATAATCCAATATGATTTTATATCTATTTTTAAAGTTATTGTATGTATGTGTTTAATTAAATAAATAATAATTCAATAACTGTCTGTCTTGTCATATAAAGATACATATTATATAATGTTAAATGTATTTATCTTTTTTTAAATACTATTTTTGTAGTATGTTGTATCGTTTTAACAGGCAATTTCCAACACTTGGCAGGTAATTGACAGGTACTTGGTACCTGTCAATTTCTTTATTTTTACTGCTTTTTCTATATTGCTATTTTGTAACTTATGCTTGTTGTATGTTCAGTGATGAAGCTTAATTTTTCACAAAAAGTGTGGACATATAAGGATTAAATATTTTGTAAATAAAACATACTTGTTTCACAATTGTCGCCTTCATAGCCAGGGGCACACTGACAGGAATAAGAAAATTCAGCATCAGTACAGATGGCGCCATTCAAGCAGGGAGCACTTAAACAATCATCAAGATCTAAGATAAAGAATACGGATTTTTTTTTCTTCACAAAATTATTTCATTTTTGCATAATACAGACATTACAGGCATAAAAAGTAAACATAATAAAATAGCCTGAATAATTAATAGACATTACAATATAATACAAAACAATTATTCGAGAGAAAATTTTTAAAATTCATAAAAAAAACTGAAAAATATAAATAAATAAATTAACCCATTGAGATTCTACTGTAATAAAATATTGCAAAAAAAAGATATTGCATAAATGAAATGCGATTTCATTTACTATATAATACAATTAATAATTTTACATTGGCATTTCTAATGAATATTTTATATTATAAATAGACATATCAAAACAACAGCTGTTTTCAGAACTACAGTGTCTTTTTAGTGTACCTCAATTACAGGTTTTTACAATAACAATATATAATTATGAAGTTCTTTATTAATACAGGAGAATATTTTGTATAACGCCTGTTAGAAAAAAAATTACTGGCGCTTACATATAAATAATTAAATTAATTAAAGGTTTTTAAGGAGGGTCTTGAATACATAAGTATCTGAAGTTGATCTAGTGGAAGAAAGTTCCATAATTTTGGAGCAGCAAAATAAATAGAATATTCGCCAGTACAAACATGCAGCATTCTAGGAACAGGTAACATTAACTGAGTTTGACTGTCTTGTGGAAAGTAAAGATAACAGTTGTGAGATTGATAAAGACAGATGGTATGAAGCGTGTCCATATATGAGTTAGTAGATTTTGAAATTTAGACATTTATTGGATTACCTGCTCAAAGCAAAGAAATATGAATAAAGATTAAAAAAAAACCAAAAACAAATCAATATGTTTATAGCTGTTTTGACATAACAAAACTATTTTAATACTGCGCGAGTGTACAAAAGACAAAAATGAACAGATTGAGCACGTAGACTGGGTTCCAGTCCCTAATCTTTGTCTTTAAATCTATTTTGACACCAATGGCGTTCCATATTACCTATTTGCTTGGCGTTAAAAGTTTCTCGATATATACCGTCGCTGGTGGCGCTCTCCAAAATTAACTAATACTAGGAAAACTTATAATTAGAGACTTGTGGCAAGTCTAATTGAGCACGCTGCATGGCGCAATATTTGGATGATTTCATTATCCAAAAAGGGTATGAAAATGCACTTCATTAAATGATCAATTATTAGTGAAAATTGTTAAAAATAAATTCCCAATCGATTCATAACACTGTAAAAATAAATCCAAAATCAAGAATATTCATTTCTTGAATTTTAACAAGTCTTTGATACAGCAGGTACCACATTTTCATTAGTTAACAAAATGGAACACGCCCAGATCTCTGGGCTTGCTGTGAGTTTTTTTTTTATTTTTAAAAGCCTTTAAAAGAATGCAAAAATATAACGGAAGAAAATTTTATCCAATGAGATTATTTTTAATATATAACTGATTGCAAGAAAACTGCCTTTCTGTTGCCGCTTCAAACTAAGCAAATGGATTGGTATAGGCAAAGTTATGACGTTGTAAATAAATGACTCCTCACAAACCGGCTCAAATCCCGCTGAAAAGCAAGCTAATATTGCTTATATTCTTCTAATTCAACCCAAAAATGATGGAGCTAAATATTTGAAAGCAAATTCCCAACTAAGTGGTTTGGTTTTTTTTTTTTTTTTTTTTTGGTCTCTCTCTAAATGATGGATAGGAAATGGCTGTTTGACATATTGCAATTTAACGTATTTCCCTCAGAAGAGAGATGGTTGCATGTTGTGTACATTTGTGTCAACGTTTAATATGATCAAGTGCTTTAAAATTTCCGTTAATTTCATACAAAAGTATGATATATCAATCTAAAATCAAATGTATTTCCAGACGATTTCATCATTATAGCTATTAAATATTAAAACAGTCATTCAATTCAATTCATTTTTTTTTTATTGCTACAAGTGCCAACTTGGGCTAATAAAATCTGCAGAAAGATAGCACAATCAATAAAATTGGTGCTTGGTGTTTACTTAAAATAAATTAATATATTCTATAATCATACATACCTGCTCGATAGCTCAATGTCCAACCACTACGTGGATTATTAAAATCTGCAGAAAATAAAATCCATGCAGAGTCGTCCGTAATAGTGTACGTGAATGGTAACGTAAATGGCGCTTCACTTGGTATGGACGTATTACCCGAGTACTGTGCAATGGCAACATTGAAGTCTGCTGTACCACCAGCTCCGTATTCGTAAAAGTCTCTGTCTTTTTCGGTGTTAAACTGTTCTATCGTAAATACGATCTTTTGGGCTTTAGAGACCCGGATAAGATAGATGCAAGCGCTCCGGTCTGCGTAATCAGCCGGGTAGTTTGGTGATGAAATTTGGCCTGTTGCTGCATAGTGATTTGTGCCACAATTTTGTCCTTTAAAAATGGAATGAATAAAACCTTAAATTTTAGAGCGACTACAAGTGATTTTGAAACTCTAATGCAGAGCGCACCATGTGATGTTTGTAAGGTCTAGACTCGCAAAATAGACTACATATTTAATAAAAACGTTGATGCAAATTCGCAGAAGTGTAAAGCTCTAATTCTGCATATATAGCACCAAGAAATAGCTTGCTAACTAAATTGCTGTGGTCGTACTTCTTTCCATTCCATTGAAACAATACAGCAGTATATTTTTTCTATTAGTAGTGCATATTCATAAGAATTGTGCTATCAAAAATAATTGAAATATTTTATAATCTTTATATTAAAACACATTCTGTTTTTAGGAAAGGATAATAAATCAATGGTTAACCTGATGTGATGTCACAATTTGTTCCCATCCATCCATATTGACAGTAACAGATGTATGCTTCTGCCGCTTCAACACAATTTGCGCCATTTTGACATGGAAAACTAAAGCACTCTGCAAGAAAAGTAAATGAATTAAGTTAAAACAGATTTGTTATTTCAATCTATACTACTTGTCTCCCAATGTGTTTTTTTTTCAATATAGATACCAATTATTGTTTTCAAATTTTTCTTTATTGCATGTAGAATACATATAATACACTTAAACACTCACACACAAAAATATTACAGCATTATTTTTTCCCTTCTTATCAGTTTATATTTTTTTTTGTCATGAGTTTTCTTTTATTTCGTACTTTTTTTCTTTTTTTCAAGCTTGGCCTCCTCAGTCGAGCAATTCCTTGCGCCGCCCCTACATAATTACCGAAGCAAGAACACTTTTGTCGAATGTACGTTTGATTATCTGCCAGATTCCTCTTTTTCACGTTTCATTAATAATCATAATATTTATTACAGCTTCTGGTTTATTTCGGGGATTTACCTATACGTCACAAACACACATAAAGACCTACAAACACTCCTCCTACACATCGGTACATTATATTATTAACGTATCTGTCCGTGGGTGACTTTTGGTTTATCAAAAACAGACAGACCATACAAAGGGTCCTAAGTCTTTCGGAACTCGTGGGCGTCTCCCGGAAATCGGCACTCCATCAGCAGGAATCTCCTAGAAATTAATCCATCTCCGCAAATTCCTAATTCTGCATGTTTTTACTGCCTTATTATCAATCTTCTCACAGAAGTCAGTGCTTATGTGTATCTTTGTGTAGTTCACAAAACTTAAATGTGTTAAGAAAGCCCATTAAGCAGATCAGTGGTGGATTCAAGGAAGGGGAAAGCATGCCCAGACACTTAAATTTCAAAATTATGACAAAATGGCGTACAAAAGAAACTTATATTCACATTTAAGTCGAGAGGTGCTAGAATAAAAAATGTCTACCCCTGCTCCAACTCAAGGGGCTTACGACGAACCGCCTAAAAACTGGAGATGGTCAGCATTTAAAAACAAATTGATATTCGTAGATATATTTAGAATGTTCTATAGTGTATCGGAGATCATACAAGCCAAGGGGTCCAATTTCCACTGAAAGGAACCTCCCACCAGTTAAGTCACGCTATATGGGCCTGGTGCTGGAGTATTATCTAATTGTTGCAAGTTGAATGTATGCCATACGTATTTGTTTTTGTATTGAATCCATCAAGTGACGTATGTAAATTTTCTGAGAACATTAACTATATTCTGATTCCGAATGAAGAGCTACGACAACTTACCTCCCACAGCTTCAGTCTGCAATATCAGGACATGATTGATAACCAGGACTATAAAAAGTTTCATTTTAGCTTCCAATCTCAAAATTCTGACAAGACATGAAAGACCGAAATAACATTCTCTTACTGTATAAACAGTTCATTACAAAATCACTTTGCACCCAAGTGTTATTTAATCCACTAATTTCACTCAAGTCCTTAATTCGTTCATAACGTACAGTTTTTGAACAGTCCATTAAATAATGCTTGTATTTTATAACGAGGCAAATTGCACCACGACCTCAACTTAAACTCAATTTATTGAGAAAGGAAAAGAGAAGATAAATGTTTGTGCTTGTCAATTGACAACAGTTATTATACGTCTATTATTTATTAAATCCATTATCAAATCACAATATTTTTCTTAGATCTACACAACACAGTTAAAATGGTATCGCCCTATGCATTTGGCCCTTTCGTAAACCCGCCGTTCAAACCATGAGCTCTCACTATCTCTTAATATCGAACATACATTTAGTATATTTATTGAATAACACTTTTGTAGCAGTAGCACACGAAAAACAAAAGAATGTCATCATAATCAGCGAAAACTTATATATATATATGTATATATATATATATATTGATCCATATATATATGTATTTATATGTACATATAAAATTATAGTGAAATATATTCAATCAATCACAGATTGTAGCGCCTATTCACGGCAGAATGTCAATGGTGAGTGGCGCTACGACAATGGTATTACTCAATGTGCACATTAACTCCTAAGGTTATAACTCCGTGGGTTAATTAACAATATTATAATAATATAAATGCAAGATTACTAAAACAATTATATAAATTAATTTATATTGAAACGTTTACTTACACGACTCTAAGTTGTGTAACTAAACGTTTCATTATAATGTGTGGATCATAACAAAGAAAATAACATTGAATATATTACATTATTGGATCTAGATGATTTTTCTCTGTCAATATAAGATGAATCGGAACCGGATTTATTCTGTTGTACAAGCGAATTTGGTAGAGTTTAGAAACAAAAATCTGCTAGACCAATCACATTTATTTTTGGATAAATTTTACAAAGACAAAGAAATCATTAGAATGTAGTTTTCCAGACCCACTGATTTTGCCTTGCATAACAGCAAAAAGCCATATTCCACAGAGTTGAGATGTGTATAAGAGACAGGAATGAGGATTTGAAAATAAATTAGATGGTTACATTGCATACTATTTGTTTCTTGCTTTGTTCAAAATGTTTTGGTTTTTGAAGATGATTTCAACATTAAAAAGCATAGCCAACATGAAGTCATATTATAGTAACTCGATGCCTATCAAATGAGTAATAAAAATTCGCCATAATTCATCAAATATCCGTGGACCCCCACCGGGAGCCCTAGGCGGCTCCCTGGCCCCCAGCCAAGTGAGACTCGATTCGCTCCACTAGCCCCCGTCGGGGCCTTTAGCCCCACCGTCGGGCAGGTCCTGGCGCCACCACTGATAATAGGCCTAGTTATTTACTACATGTTCTGGCATTATTATTAACTAAGTGCTGTGAGAAAATCTGAGGTAGAGGAGTGGCATTTTAGGTATTTATGTGTCCAAAACAGATGACATATTTCATCACTACTATATTTGGCCGGAGATTAACACCCTCCCTCACCCCCTCCCCCGCTGGCACCACCGCATTTAGCCCTCCTTTTCTAAACCCGCTGTGCCAACCCTGGCCCGCCGTGCACCAAATTTATGTATAGTTTCTATGCATGCGCTAGAATTTTGTTCGAGATTGTGAAAAGAAACTCAATCTACGTTCTATTTCCTCCATGGACAGAAGTGTACTGATCACACACAAATTATCAAGTCTTAATGAGTGTAGTGAATCTTTTTCGTCAGTGTGACCAACAACTTTCTATACAATGCAAATCCCAAATAATATTAAAATATTTTGAAACCACAATTTACTACTTATGGAAACTAAATTAAACTGTCTTATAACTTTGACTTGCACAAGTTTCATGAGAGAGAATCGAAAAATATAACATTAGGTGTCCATAATTTAGGTAGGCTGCTTTTAGTTGTAACAGCAGGGAGCGGTTAGAAGATCTATGACCACCAAAGTTGCTATTTGCTGCCATATAGTTACTTCTATTAGTATTTGTGGGCCTGTAGTATAGTAATTTTTTTATTAATTCTTTTAAAACTTTCATTTCCTGCTTGCACTCTGTTAAAATGTTATATTCTTTTAGAAAAGAGGATATATTTTAATGATGATGATGATGATGATGATGATGACGAAGATGATGAAGATGATGATGATGATGATGATGATGAAGATGATGATGATGATGATGATGATGATAATAATGATGATGGTGATAATAATGAGAGAATAATGTTAATGCCAACAATGACTCTAAGCGCTTCATATTATTTCCCCTGGTCAAATCACATAATATGGGACACATCATCAGCAAACTAGGAAGTAAAAATACTTCCGTATTATCACTAAAACAATACAAGAACAGTATTTTGTGTATACATAAATTATATCTCATGTTAAGTATGCGTCACTGATTCAATGTAATGTATAAGCCCTCTCCAATAGGTGATTTAAGTGAAGACGCAGATTCATCAATACCGCTGGTTGGCAGACAGAATTCATACTCTGCTTTATGCGTACATGTTGGCTCAGCATACTCATTAATCAATGTATCTTTCCTGCGTGATTCTATGGAATGTACAACAGCAACTCCATAAGATTCAGTGCAACAGCTTGGCAGAGGGATTTCATATCCTCTACCTTCTAGTGTAGTCGTTGTTGCTGGCGATGTACCACATACTGAATTAACTACCCCAGACATTTCTCCGGGAGGGTTTGGAGCATTGCTAATATTTCCACTGGTTTGCATGTTGGTTATATCATCAGTCATAACCGTATTTGTAGAATTTTCAGTTTTCATTCGGTGTTTATAATAATACCTAAATTGTTTAGGAAAAAACATGTCATTAGTGATACAAAGCTATACATTTCAAACACGACCTGTATTCAAAGGATAATTTTACCGATTATTAAAGAACATAAATAGAAGAAGAATGAGCTCATCGCGTAGTTTGCATTAACTTTGATGGAACGTACATCCTCTCTAGAATGGAGGAAAATTATTTGATGGAGTGGAGAAACTAATGAAAACAAACAAACAATCCAACAAACCAGAACCAATCAAAGATATAGCGCCGCCACTCGGATAGAAGAGCTCTCATGGACGGCCTCAGGAAGCGTTACACTGTATCTCGAATTGCTCTATTTTTTGCTTTTTATTATCTTTGCCATTATGTAATTTGAGAACTGAATAAACATACTCAGTTACAAAATATCCTACTTATAAAATTACATAATATTATATACCTAATCATGCTAAATCAATTTTCAAATATAAAATCGGTAAACTTGTCCTTTTAAATAGGACCATCATTTCATACAATATAAGGAATGTAGCAGTAAGACCGATACTCTTAACAATATCATCAAAAGTAAATGAATTCAAAATATACCTGCAGTTGAAGACAGATATTGGACACATCACCCCTACTAAGATACAGAATATGTACACCACAATCAAGTAGTTATGTTGAGTTGATGTACAACCTTCAAAGAATACAAATTAATATTTTTTGTTTATTATTAAAACAAATTGTACACAAAAACAAATATCAAACACAAAAGAGTTAATCAAAAGGATAGCTAAGGATACCTGAAAAAATGCATGTATGCAATCATTTTTTACTTTATGTTAACACAAACTTCACGCTAGAGTCTTACAAGGTGACAAGCTTGCACCTTTCCTCTTTTTGTCATTACCCTTGATTACGTATTGAAAACGTTTCCTGATAAGCATTTCGACCTTGGCTTTACCTTATCAGGGAGAAAAAACTGATTAACAGCACATCCATTCCTAGAAGCCTTTTATAAAGTTGCCTAAAATTGTGTTGATTATGATATTCTTTATTTAAAAATTGATAGCAACCCATGTATGTTAGAAGGCAATAAAAAAATGCAGTTATCATTTATTATTATTTATAAACCTGTCGGAGGTACCAGCCTCTGATTGGGGGAGATCTCGCGCTACCACTGCAACCTATACGATCGTGATAGATATAAAACATCTCGCACATACTGTAGCACTGCTCACACTAAACAGTCGTTAATCCCTAAAATTTTACAGATAAGTAAGGCATACCTAAACTGTACTTTCGGCGATCGAGATTTCATTTTTTCCCGACAACCTTGCTGGAAATTCCCCGACAGGGGAGTCCAAGCGGGGGTTCAGAGGTCCCGGCGGGGTCCGTTTCCCATCTGAACCCCTCCCCCCGTTAGCATTGGTATGGCAGATACGTAACTTAAGCTGTTTAGCAAATCTCTTGCTAATACCGAAAATAACTTTATTTCCTTAATAACCTTATTTCTCTTATACAATCTACGACGTTTGCTGGCTGCTTCTTCTTTTTTTTTTTTTAAATATAATCAAGTAAAACCATTATCAGGAACATATTTGTAGTATGTAAATGATCGTCAGCAGAATCAAATAGTTGCAGTAAAATTAATTTGCCTACCCAGAGGCGACGAAACTATAGAGGGGGTGCTGTGTTATGGATGTATGACCGGAAGTGGTTTGCAGTTGGTTGTTATCATGCGCCAGTGATATTTAAGTACAGCAACATGAAACTATTTATGTAATGCATAAATAAAGCACGGGGTTTGTCGGGTAGTGAAATGATTATGGTACATTTTAAGTGCTCCAGTTACTCGGTGATTAATTAGCGAAGATATAGAGACAATTAGTTCCCCTAGTCTGGGGGATATATACATATATACAAATATACATATACATACACATATATATATATATATATATATATATCATATACGGTATATGAGGTATATATAATTATATGTAAATATATGTACAGTAATAGGACTATATATATATAATATATATTGTTAATAGGAAATTGAATCGTCAAAGAAAAAAAAATGGGGGCACCGCTCAAAGATTACAATCATTAATAAGCTTCACCAAATAGGGTAGACTAGCCACGGGTCTCTAATTTCTTGATTTTTCGTAGTATTAGTGGTATTAGCACATTTCGGAAAGCGCCACCAGCGTCAGTTTGTCGAGAAACTTTTTTGATGCGATCGATTTTTCCAGCTTTTTAACTGATTGAGGCAGAGTTAGGGACTCGAACCCAGTCTACAAATAGGACTGCTAGAGTGGCGCACCATATTACAAACAATGTTACGAAGCTTTTCAGCAGATCAAGTAAATTTTTGTGGACATCATTACCTCTAACAGGCAATAATGAAAACAATTTAGAAGTAGGGATCAAAATAGTCTTAGCAATTGCAAAGGAAATGCAAAGTCTCGACGCCTGGGACTTATTTTATCAAGGTGCAACGTAACAAGAGCATCAGCATATCTGCCCAAGATGACCCTACAAGCGCGTTTATGAATGCACTCGATAGAATTAATGTGGTTAATAATGATCAGCCCTTCATACCGGCACCACATGTTCCTACACTGGCCTAACTGAACCTGTATACACCGACACCAGGTCGCGCGGAAAAACACCATGCCGTTTAAGTGTACGCAGGGTATGGAGCCTGCCCTTACCTTTCTAAACCATATAGTCGACATGTTTGTCCCATTAAAGGTTAGACTGAATAGAAACTTTAAGCAATTTAAAAAAATCACATGGCAATAGCCTGATCATAAAAAGTAATACAATAGGGAAGGGGAGGATTTTTAGAAAAACAAACATCCATAATAAAAAATTTTGAAGGATTAAGTCTCATACTTTGTTCAGACCATGAAAGACGACTTGCAGCACAATTAGGAAGGCCAGAGTTTTGGTGAATCTTGCGAAATTCCACAAAACAAACTTGGGAGAGGGAGGTCCCCGACGGGGGGACGGTCCCCCAACGAGGTGTCAGATTTCCCCGACAAAAGGAAAGTGGGCGTGGTCGAGCTTCGACTAAAAGGTTCCGAAAGAGGTTCTGAGAGCGAAGCCCCGAAAATGTTGACAATTTAGGGGTTTCCATGTGGCTATGCTACCGCCGGTTTAGCTCATTGGATCACTGAGGAACACAACCTGCTCTACCACGGCAAGGTATCAGCCACAGAGCAGCCTACCGAACTGTACTTACCATACCACGAGCAGTCTATGCAAGAATACGGTAAAGGAAAAATGCATTCGTCATTGGTGAATATGCCGCATTTTTTGCAATCGCTACCTTTGTATC